ACCTTTTTCTCTCAGAAATCTGGGGGACAAGCACTGCTTTATACTTTCATGTGTGTACATGTTAAGGTAATATAACTGCTTATTTTGTTTACTTGAAGGTAGGAGACAGAAGTGGAGAACTCACAGCCAGACTTAATCTCTCGGATCTTCAGATGGTTCTTGGATTAAGCTACAGTACAAACAACTCCATGATGTCGGAGAGCCATGTGGTAGAGAACAGTTTCAATGGTACGTGCCTCTTTCTCCAACACTTTCGAACAAAGACTTCAGAAAGAGTGTTGTGTTCTTTACTGACCACATTGGTGTGCAGTTTGCTTGGTTTTCTCCCCCACAGTTGTTTTTGCAGTATTGGATCCTTCAGCACCTCCTTTTCTGGAGGATTTCCATTGTGAATCACTGGTTACTGCTTAGTTTCTTCACATGGTGTTTCTAATTGTGTGTCTTCCCCCCTTTTTTTAATGTGGGAGATGTATCTACTTGCTATCAGATCCCATCTTTTCCTTCCATCTTAGCAACACTGGAGTTACAACAGAACCCAGTGCATTTGCTGTTCCTCTGTTCAAAGATCCACAGTCCTTCTTTCATGTCCTGCGAAAGCAACTTAGGTAGCTTAGATTTGGGGGGGTTGTGTAGGCTGCTTTTACTAATGGTTAGTTATTCTCTGCTGATATATTTAACTGCACTGGTTTGGAAGTCAGAATTGCTGTGCCTTGGACCTTAGACGAGTACAGCCACAGCTCTGATGATAGATCACCATAAATTTTGATGATAAAAAGATGAACTTGGTTCTCTCTTGAAGGTACCAGACCGAGAGTAGGACGCCGTCACAGCATGGAGAACATGGAACTGATGAAATTAACCCCAGAAAAGGTTGGCACTTTGCTTCTGTTCTGCTGCTCACATTGCAGTGAAACATTGCTAAGGGTTTGCTGATGTGCCACGTGCCTCCCCTTTTCATGTAGTTGATCTGAGGAGTTACACAACAGCAGGTCTAACCATACTAACAAATAATAGTTTTGTGTGTGGGTGTGGAGCGTGTGACACAGATAATGGCTGTAATGGCTTGTGGGAGGCTTGCTTTATTCACTGCACAAATGAGAAAGAATGGGGTCCTGCAGGTGCATCAAAGGAGTTCCTTTCATATCTTTATAGAGATGGTTTGAGGTTGCAGCATGAAAGTGATTCAGAGTAAAATTTCTAAGCTTTAGTTCAGCTGTTCTGAACGTTTTTTCTTTGGCTGCAGTCATTTTATAGGCACTTAAAATATGTGGGTTTTTTCCTTTTGGGATTTCAACCAACTTGCAAGCCATCAGGAGCTTCAATATCCATCTTGAGTAAGGATGCTATTGCAGAAATGCTGCACCTGAGTCACAGATAGGCAAAGCAACTTCCCCCCAGGCCCAGAGTAATCTCTTGAAGGAGTCCCTGATTAAAATCCTTGTGTCACTCTATGAGAGCTTTCCTTCAGTTCTTTCAGTAGTGGGCTGGCAGTTCTACATGAATGACTCCAGTGGCAGACTGAAATGGATATTTTTCCCTCCCCACTGGGATATCTAATTCCCTTCTCTTCAAGTGAGGCAAAGCCTGTCATCAGTTGATCAAACAGGCAGTAAAATCTCAAAGTGTGTGGACAGTGGGTCCAGCTGAAGTCAGTGCTGATGCTCACAAATCTCTGAGTAGTGTTTGAGAATGACTATGCTTAGTCCAGGGTGAGGCCTCTGCAGGGAACCTCTAAGCTCTTGGCCACCATCAGCTGTGTTTTCTTACTCTCTGAATCTCTTTATCTGGGATCACTTTTTAAAAATGTTTATCCTCTGATAGTCTGTGCCTTAAATATAGTGGTTCCTGTAGATTTTTGTATTTAATCTACTATTGCACTTTAGCACTTCATAAAGGACTTTTTTCAAGGTCCTTAGTGAGTAGATTCTGAAAATTCATTCCATGCATGTCTCTGGTATCTAGAACAAAGCATGACAGGAGCACTAGGGTGTCACTGGACAGGATGCCATCTTCTTGGAGTCACACTCTGTGTGCTGGTGCTCAGGAAGCCTTGAAAAGGCAATCCACTGGGGTAGGCACTGTTGCTGGAAGATTTGTGACTGTGTTCACGCTTTGTGATGTTTAATCAAGAAAGAAAAGGTTTTGTTTTGTTTTTATTCAGTTATAAGAGTCTGTCAGTTGTGGATAATTCTATTTATTTTAGAAGATATTTTAGGGAAAATCTGACAGGTTGACAAAGCTCTCCATTCTGATCATTAATGAAACAAGATGGTCATTCCTGTTTGCTCTTGTGCTGGCATTGTTCTCCCTCTTCTTTTTCAATCTTTACTGAGAAGTTTGTTTATATGAAGGACTTCAGGGAAGGCTTGTTGAGTATCTGGGTTTGTATAAGGGTTTGTTTTACTCCAACACTTTGTAATGTGGGGGCTTTTCCTTTTTTTCTTTCCAGCCTTAGGAATGTCAGGTGGGAAATACCAGCTGTGTCTGCAGTTCAGCATTTACGTTATAACTGCTTTTCCTGCACTGCAGTCAGCAAGGACAACTTCAGTGTGTTTCATTAAATACACTATTTGATCACATTTAATCCATCAGGTGTCACACAACAGTTCACTTCTCAGACTGAGCAGTAACAGCACTAACCTGCCCCAGCCAACACCAGCTCACTGATCCCAGGTCAAGTAACAGAACCAAACCCAAAGTTTTAACATCCCTGTGGTTGGATGAACAAAATAAAGCTGCTTCATTTTGGGGAAGAAAAGCAGCAGCAATAAAGAGGTAACAGTACAGGTAATTACAATCTGAAGGCTTAACTTCGTGACTCTTGTTTTCTTAGGTTCAGAACTGGAACAGTGAGATTCTTGCTAAACAGAAACCACTGGTTGCCAAACCTTCAGCAAAACTGCATTTTGTAAATCGACTAAAAGGCAAAAAGTACAAAACCAGCACCACTTCCAAAGTTTTGCAGGATGCCAGTAATGCTATTGATCATCGACTTCCCAACTCCCAGAGGGTAGGTCTGGTGAGCTGTGGAGATCATCACCTTTACTCATCTTTGTCTGATCAGAACTCTGGAAAACACAGTCCTGCAACTCTCCATTTCACTTTAACTTCATTTAAGCACTGTGGCTCTGTAAACGTGCACAATCTGCCATTCTACAGCTGTCTCACGGGTGGTGCCAGCTTTAAGCTTCTCCTATCACTGAAACCATTGTATTCCTCATGGATTTTACAAAGTTAGAGCTCAGCTTGCTCACATACTTTATTTCTAAGTCTCTTCTAGACACTGCTTCTCTAAACTTCACAAAATCTAGTTTTTCTGATTCAGGCAGTGGGAGATATTTTGGACATTTTAGATTATTGCACTCTTGACAGAACTCAGTTAAAAATAAACAGCATTTGATCATAGACCTGAGGAGACAATGGAAACTGTTCATTGCTGTTCTTGTTGCTTTTCTTCTCTCATGGGCATTTGGGTTTTCGGTGGATTAATGGCTGAGGAGGAATAACTCCAGCTGTGCCATGATCAAAGCACTGTTTCTTTCCACTTGAGAGAATGAAATGTTTCTAATATATTTTACCCTCCAAAAACGCTGCCATATTGTTATATCTCCTCTTCTGATAAACCTCTGTCTACAGAAAGGGATGACTAAAAAAATTGATTTTAATTGATTTCAGATACGCAAATATGAAACAGGACTGGACTAAACTCTGATGCAGTTGTCCCAGCTTTAGGTACTCTCAAGTTCAAAATACCCCTAAATCTTTTCTCCTTTTCAGAAAAGCAGTCGAGAGACCATGGCAGATGAAGGGTTCTTTGATCTGCTGAGTCGATTCCAGAGTAACAGAATGGACGACCAGAGGTGCTGCTTCCAGGAGAAGAACAGACTCCCAGCTGCTTCAGTGGCAAAATCCTCTACTCCACCTAAAACAATGCGAAAATGTAATTTTTTTTTGAAGTAAAATCTGTATCTGACTTGAGTTTCTGCCAAATACCATTTTCCAAACATATTTGCATGCACGACTCACTACAGAAAGGAACATATTTCTGGGCTAACTTGTTTTCTTCCTGCTCCCCAGCCTTTTCCACTTCTGTGGTGTCCCCACACACAGATGAGTTCCTGGACCTGCTGGCAAGCTCGCAGAGCCGCCGGCTCGACGACCAGCGCGCCAGTCTGAGCAACCTGCCCGGGCTGCGCCTCCCCCAGCGTGACAGGCAGGCCGTGCTGGGGCACCTCGTGGGCAGCAGCAGCAGCAACAACAGGGAGCTGGATGACGACTTCTTTGATATACTGATAAAATGCCAGGTCAGTCCCTCAGCTGCTGAGTCTCTGCGAATATGGTTTGTGCCTCCTGCTATTGAGCCTCTTGTGATTTAAGATACATATTGATTCAGCAGATAAGAAAGAATGTAACAAACATTAGGATTTTTTTTCCCAAGTTTTGGGGTTCTTTTACAATTTCTGTTTCTTGATTTTTTTTTAAATTATCCAGTGTCTAGTAAGCATAATTTTGGTCTATATACCATGGTAACTGTGTCAAGTAACAAAAATGTATGCTGTGGTAACTATTTCTAGGAAAAATTCTTAAAAAGTGAAGGAAAATAAGTGAGGATATTAAAATGAGTATTAAAATGGTTTGAAGTGTAAGGCACCTGATATACCAGGAATCTATGAAATGAAATGGAAGAATTTAGTATTCAAGTTTTGGTGATAACAGTGGTCATCATTCCCATTATGTTTAGTGTGAATGATAGTTCATAGCAATATGTGGGTGAGGTGGCTGATTGTCAATTAGAGTATATATATATATATGTATATAACTGGTATATATACCAGTTAGATCAAAAAGAATTTAATTAAATAAGCATCTCAAAATACAAAATTCAGATTCATTTTTTACTCCCTGTACAGGGAAAGGAAGACAACCATATTTTCTGGTATATGAGACTAGAAATAATCCATACTAATGCTAAAATTCTTCTTCTGGACAAAGGACACTTAAATCTCATTCTGTGATATGACACTTGGGGGGTATTTTCAGAGCTTAACTTGCATTCTTAGTAACTTCATTTAACAACTTTGGCTTGAAACAAAACTTACAAATTAAATCTCTGTAAGAGCTTTAACTCTGAAAACAAAAGCTTTTAGTAGTTTTTTCACTTAAATTGTTCATTTATTATATCTGTTCCTGTAAATATGCAGCTTTATCTCTTGGTCTGTCTGCAGGGTTCCAGACTGGATGATCAAAGATGTGCTCCTCCAGCATCTGCAAAAGGATCCACTGTACCAGATGAGGATTTTTTCAGCCTCATTTTACGATCACAAGCTAAGAGAATGGATGAACAGAGAGTCCATTTACCCTCAGCTATAAAGGCACCGAATTCTAGCTGAAGACACACACAGAGGAATGTACTGTACAGCAGCATCTTAGGTATCATTTTTGTTTGCTGGAAAAGCATACTTGCCTTTTTAAAGATGACTGCAGTGAATAGTTTTGTCTCCTTTCTAATGATTTTCCATAGAAATAGCAGCAGCATCAACGTGGGATCAGTAGTTATAGAGCTGCCCCTGCTTATGGCAGCTGCTTTTATAGCAGTGTCTGAGATGCCATCACTGTCTCTCCCTCTTAACTGGCTCTAGCCTATCAACATTAATAATGTTTTTTTCTCTGTCAATGTTTATCAGTGCTCATATGTGGATTCTACTACTGTCTCAATCTAGTGTAAGACCTAAATTTTTTATGTTGTTTTTAAAGAAAACTTGATTTTCCCCCCCTGCTTTGTACCTCCTGAAAAAAAGGTCCCATTTTCTTTTATACTTTTTTTAAAAAATAAAAAATCAAGAAATAGCTTCAGGAGTTAGTCTGTCTTTGCAGAAACAGAGTTTGGAAGAAACAATCATTTATATTAAAAAAAATTAAACCCTGGTTTTAATTCTGTTTAATAAAAAATAGTTTTTTTCAAAACATGATGGGTTTTTTTGGTAATATTTAGTTAAGTGTTTCCTATATTAGCACAGTTTTACTATCAGGAGAAGTTTTTACAAAGTACTTATTTTCAAGAAACAGCTGTTCATGCTCTGCAGCTGGTGTGGGTACATGTCCAGGCACCAGGGAAGCACAGCGGTGGTGGGCACTTGGCACCAACTCCCAGGGACACAGTGTAATTCCTGCATTTCAGATGTCACAGGCTGTAAATGCCCATAGGCTGCTTATTACCTGACCTCAGCTCCTTCTGCTCCTGCTAAGGATGTGCTGTGCTGGGATAGTTCTGGGGAACAGCCGATACCTTCCTTTTCCCTGCCGTAGATCCCGATCCCGAGGCAGTTCTGGGGAACGCTGAGGGCTGTGCCTGGTGTTAACTGCAGGTATCTTGAGTTAGAAGCCACTGATTTTAACACCAAAGGTGGCAAACTGTTCACTCTGGGTATTTATAAATGATGTCCTGTTTTTACTGAAGTATTATAATATACCCATAGAGAAGAACTTACAGTTAATTTTAGCTTCAGAGAGAAACTATTTTACAATTACTGAAAGATTTATAGATATTCTCTTGCAGCTTTTTCTGGCACTGAAATCAGAATCCTACTTAAAACTAAAACTTGTCCCTCTGCTTATAAGGAGAAATGTCAGAATGTTCTTCAAAAAAAAAAAAATCACTAATCAGTTTATCATCCTGAGCTTTGATGCTTTTACTCAGTGCTTCCTATTCCCTGTTCAGCTTTGAATTGCCCTAAAACCCATCTGACACATCAGCTTCTCACTCTGCAAATCATTAAACTAGGAGAAAATCAATAGGTTGTCCTAAAACTGAGCTGACAAGCAGCCAACTGATTTTAAAGACTATAAACCCAAAGACAGACCTGAGATGTCTATCTGAGCTGGGATGAGTATTACGTGAATTACAGGAGTATCAGTGACTTCCTAGAGGGTTTTGGACAGTTACCTGGCAAGGCTTGTGTTTGCTACATCAGAGTATCCGTGCTTCCCCCCCACTGAGAATCTGATTTTACCCAAACCTTATTACACAAACCTAATTTCCAACAAGTAGCCACACCCCACAAGCCTGTTTTCTTGGCCACTTAAATGTGTATTAACACATTTATTTCCAATTCCAGACGCAGTACCTATGCTCCCTCTCACACATTTTACAACCCCACCTTCCAGCTTACTGATGTTCTCTTTGTGACACTTGAGAACTAGAGCAGAATTAACAAGGACATGACAACTCAAGATTAGACCACACTCACAGCTGAGCTCGGGCCTTCCTTAGTCTCCTTCCTGGGAGTCGCGTAAAATGCTCTTTTCCTTCTCTTCTCTTTGTTCCATTGCAGAGCTTTTCCCCTCCAGGTTTTTACTGGGATCACAGTTTTCTCCAGCCTCTCGCTCTGCTTTGCCTGTCTCCTGTTTCTGCTGCTCAACTGCAGGTTCCTCAGTACGGTTTTCAGCTTTGAGAGTTTCCAGTCTATGAACTTCAGAGTCGGCGTACAACCTATTCTGTAAAAATACCCCTAATAATTATTAATTAATCTAAAGTGACAGCATCTGTTGCTTTAAGGGCATCTCAGCTCAAGGGGCAGAGCTCACCCAAAGCATGAGTAGTTTTTTCCCTGGGGAAACAGAGCATGTAAATAAGCACAATGTAGGGTATAAATCTGTTTTGAATTTTCTGTAGTTTACACAAAAGTCAGCATTTTTCCCCCCGCTTCTCCCGGGGGTAATCATCAATGCCCAGGCTGACATAAGTACCGACCTCTCAAAACTAAAGTTTGTACTATATGGAGTTTTAATTCAGTAGTTTCCTGCCAAGTAATTTTCCAGAAAGAAACATGTCCAAGACAGCTCTACCAAACTGCTCTATCAGGAAACATGCACTTCCTTAACTCCTGTCTCCCCAGGATTTGGGTTAAGCTTGTTGTTTATCAGGTGACATTGAAATCTGTCCAGTTGAATCCCAGCTCAAAGAGCACCAGGACTTACATTAGGTTCTGGCTTGGGAGAGTCCTGTCCGTGTGCATCCGGCTCATCGCTGGAATGTGCCGTGTCGGGATTCCTGCTGCCATTCCCTGCCCTCACGGTGAGGGGAGGTCTCACAGAGGCATCTCCTCTGTCCTGGTGTCCTCTGTACACATACGGGCGCTGCTGTAGGTAATAGTCCTCTGGCTGCCTCCCCTCGTACTGCCCAAAGCCGATCTGCTCCCGTGGACCGTCAGGTGGAGGAAGACTTCTCTGAGAAGATGCTGCCAAGTACCTTAATGCAGACACTGATGATCCTGCACCGTAGCAAAAAGCCTGGGGGAGGGAAAAAACCAAACTGAACAACACACCACATACTGCAGCCTATGGTCCTCACACAGATATCAAAGTCAGGCATCTACAAGACCCTGAAAGAAAAGCTCAGGTGATCAGAAGGGCTGCAGGAAAATTCAAGCCTTCTGTAGTCTGACCACCCTGCAGGAACTGCCAGACTGGGTGCAGTTCATTGCTGGTGCTACATTAAAGATGTTGAAGTTTTAACTCAATGCTTACGTGTACAAAATGCCAATTATATGCATCACTGTGTAATGACACAAAGCAGAAATGGGAACGAAGCTGCAATAAACTGTCATAGAGTCTAAGATTTTAAGCAGTTTAATGCTATTTTATCCTACCTGGGGAGAGGGGAGGAGTTGTGTTTTGAATGCAAACTTGGCTATTTGAATTGCTAAACCAACTGTACTATGAAGTCTTGGTCAAGAAAAACTTGCCTTGTAGAAGTAACTTCATCTGTGCTAAGTAAAAATAACAAATAAATAATAGATAATACTTAAATATAAATAAAAATAATATATAAAAAATAAACTGAGCTCTTAAACATAGGATAAATGTATACAAACCAGGACAGCCAGAGCCATCATAATTAGTACTGGGATCTGCAGAATGAACGGAATCTCCTTCATTAGTGCTTTGATGAATTCACCAATACCTTGTCCTACGTGCTTCAAAGGCTCAGTTACAAAGTTGGTGAAAGTAACTGCCAAGGCCTAGGAAAATACAAATAGAAACCCAGTGTTGTCACACAAACAACAAACATCAAGAAGAACAGTCCCTTTGGACTTGGCGTGTACCTTTGTTGGTGGAACCAGCAAAATAGGATTTACAAGTAGAGTTTCATAGTACTTCTGACAGGGATCGTCCTGTAACGTCCAGGTACTTCTAAGCCATTCTGTCAAAGCAGAGACATAGTTTTATAACTTCTCAGAAGTATATTTTATGTCACAGCAGTAAAAGACAAAATGACATTTCAATTAGAGATGGAAGAGAACTCTTCTAGATGCGGTTCAAAGCTCAGGTTTATTTTTACAATTCTGAGATCAGCTTGGCAGTGTAATTTATCCAGTCATGGGGATGCAGGAAGGAGAGGGAAGGCTAGAAGGAAAAAAGAACCTGAAGTTCTCCCATGCAGAGTCAAGAAAGTTCTCTTTATTTGATGAACTTATTCCCTGGAAGCCTCAGAGGAAAAAGTCTCATCTGTGAGAACCATTATCTAGCACAATGTGTCCACAGTTACTGAAACAGTGCCATTCCCACTGTTATTACTCATCTGCCAGTCTGAAGATGAGATTAAAATCATCTGTTTTGCTTGCTAGATTTGAAGGGTCTATTTTATTCACGAGCAGAAAGTCTCACTTCTTAAGGGAAATTTTACATTATAAACAAGTCATTTACGACACCAATGTTTCTGTAGTTTGGTTTTACTGCAGTCAGAACATGAATCATTGAAATTTGTCATAAACAGAATAATCAGAGTCAATAAATTACAAAGGGAAGACCATACCAAGCAGTCCTTAAGAGTTGCCACCAGCTATAGCACTGGATACTAATAACAGTTAATTAAAAATAATCAGCTTTCTCTGTAAAACAGTAACACTTAAGTAAGCAGTAACAGATCTAATTCCTCAAGTCCATTGTACTCACAGGTCTGGCAGGTGAAAAGAAAAAAACCCTTTTCATGAGCTCTGCCCACCTGTCTTTGGTAAATGGCACTGAATGGTTATGGGGAGGGGAGCTGGGGAAACATTCATGGGTAAGTTAAAAGAAAAAGAAGCAACACCATGACATGCTCCAAGTACAGTTTTGGGATCAGCTCTCCTCCAAAGGCCTAGAAAAGTCTAATGGAATGGAAAAATGGTAAAACCACATAATCATGTATTGAAGAAAATTCAGTGTATTACTCATGAAGGTATGTGACTATTCTTGGATACTATTAGTTAATATTTTGTGATCTTAAATACCATTACAAAATAACAAAACAAGAAGTTACCAAAAAGACTTTCCCGCCAGTCCAACTTCTCGGCACAGATGTTATCAAACTGCCCCATTTTCGCAATTTCTGCTTGATGCTGCGCAAAGGCCTTCTGAGGGGAACACAAGGACTTGTGAGACCAACAGACCCTGCATCCCTGCACCTCGGCTATCCCTGTGTGCTCTTAGCCAGCCTGGATAATTCTCCATGTCGATAATTCCCCCACTACACCCCCCGTAACGGTAACTCCCTGTGTAAATATATAATAGGAAAAGTTTGCTAACCAAACAATTTAATGGAGTTTAACTCTAAGAACCTCCTGGGAATGGACAACACCCATGATGACGGCTACCTCTGAGTTATCCTCCAAATGGAGCCTGATATTTTTGCCTTGAACTCGTATCTTTGAATACTGGAGTTTAGTCCTTTGGCAATTCAAACACAGGGAACCTTCAGAAAGAAAAAACTCCTCACAATATATTTATTTTCATATAACTCCTACCAAGCTGCTTTAGTCAGAGGTCACATCTGTCTTGCCCATACAGTGAAATTAGAATTCTAGTACTCTATGAATTTTGTGCACCTCTGCTGAAGGATAAAGTAAGTCCTTGGAGTTTCTTTTGTTCTTTAAGCCTAACACACCCATCAGCATGCAAAACAGAATGTTAATCCCTTTATTTATTTTGTGGTTAATTAAAAGCTCTATGTAAACTAACTAAAGGCACTAAATAACCTTAACTCCCTCATAACTCTAAAATTTTAAGCCTAAAAGACATGAAGATTACAGAACTTACCTTATACAAATAAAGCCAATTCCATGCAAAACTGATGAAAAAACTTATCAATAAAAGACGCTTTAGCTGAACAAACAAAAGAATCCGTGTCCAGAGCTCTGTAGCTATTACAGTTACAATGCATGCTAAGCACAAGAGCAGCTGAAAAAGAAAAGAAGAAAAAATTATGATCCAGATTTGGAATTTGCCAAGCTTACTGCCAGTACACATGAACAAACTAGTCCTACACTGCAGTTGCTCTTTTTTTTCTTGTGATATTTAGTTATTTCCTCCTTATGATGTTTATCACATTACCCACCACACTTTTAAATTATAAGGTTGGTGTCATTCACTGCTTGAGCAAAACAACTGCTGCCAAGTCCTGCACTTTGGTTAAGAGACAAAGGTACAGTTTGGGGAGCAGCTGCCAGACTTTAGAGAAGTCCCTTACAGAATCCTTCCATCTGAGGACCCCCAGCACTGAGGTTATGCTGCTGACAGCTTGCTTTGGGATTTGGCTTCCATGGACTCCTCAAATCTAGACAGGCTCCTTTCCAGATTATGTCAGCATAAAACATCAGCATATTCTGAACTGTAAAGATTTATTCAGAGAGCTTCAGCTTATCAGAGATCCTCATCTTAGCACTTTATAATTCCATAGTCATGCTCTCCTCTCCAACACTACACAATTTTTTTCCATAAAATTCGCAAGAGCCTCTGACCTATAAGAGTTCAAATATATACTTGTCTCAATATAAATATATTCCACCTCCTGCAGAAGTCAACAACTTCAGCATCTACCTGAACAAGAGACAAACCTAGAAAATCTGGAATGCACGAAGTGTCAGTTCTAGTGATAAGGAAGTGCTAGAGCCTAATGAGTCAGGCAGCATAGATATAAAAGACAAGAGAAAAAGAAGCATAACAGAAAAAAAACCCACAAAGCTACAATAAGAAAAGATGACCACAGGAATAAAATACTTGAATTCTTACTTAAAATTAATACATCCCCATTAAAATGAATACATCCTCCCTTCCTTCAATGAAAAAAACCCCATGACTCACTGAAAGTGTGATGGAAAGAACTGCTTTACATGTGGAGTTAAGATAGTTATATTCGCTGACTAGACCTGACCAGAGAAACTGGAGAAAACAGCAATTAAAACCAACAAACCCCCTTTATTCTCTTACCATAAACAAATTATATAGGTCAATTCCAAAAGTGTCTTCAAATCTCCAGTGCCAAGCTTGATAATCGTGGTGCTTAAAATTGATCAAAATATCACTGAGTGCATCATCCATGGCACCTGGTTGCCAGGTTTCCTCATTGAGGAACCTGAGGATCTCCAAATACGTCTGCTTTGTAAGGATGATCTCGGCGTCGTAGTGGACTTGGCCCACATTTTCCTCAGGCTGAATTAAAGGCAAAGCACAGCAATGTCACAAGCTGCTTCTTTGGAAACAGAAGTGCATGCCTAGGCAAAAACCTGATTTTATACCCTTCATGCTGTACCAGAACCTTTTTGAAACAGACTGCAGGATGAAAACACAGGACAAAAGTATGATTCTGTATCCTTTCTGTTCATTCTTCTAAACTAGATGATACTCGAGTTCAACTCCTTCAATTCTACAGCAGTAAACTAACAGAAATGGATTATCTCACCTGTTATTAAAACTTTAGAACCACAGCTCATTAACAAGAAATAATGACATACATGCTATGTGTGCCCTGATCACAGCTGGATAATACAGACAGAAGCTATTAAATACTGAAATAAGTAATTTTGCGTTGCTAAATATAATGTTCTTTATTAAATATTAATTTTGCTTATTACTAAAAATTCTTCTACCTCTGAATAGAAATAAAAATCTCCAAAGACAATAAAGAGCCCATCCAACAGCTAAGTACCATGCAGCCACTCCAGTTTAACAACCATTAATGTGAGCTGAACAAGGTACTCCTATAGCTGCATCCCAGCAACAGATCTTTAGATACACAGAATTCAAAAGCCTTCCTCTGGATGCTTCTCATATCAAATGGCAGCTGTGCCTCCTGAGCAGTACTGGATGCACAGACTTCTATCACCTTTTCCAATGCCATTCAGTTCCCTTCATTTTAATTTAAAGTATGCCAAAATAATTAATCAGTACTCAATAACTATGAAAACCACATAAAGTAGTAATATGAATTCTAAATAATTTTTTTAAATGACTGTTCAAATACTTACAAGGCCAAGTTTTCCAGCTTCATTTAAAATCTTATTCAAGTATCGCCTAAAAATATAAAAGCTCCGGCTTTCCTGTGACTTGGCATTCCTCTTCTCACATTCTGCAATCTGCAATCGTGCAAAATACACCTTTATTACCTTTGCTCAGACCAGTTCACTCATAGGAGAAAAATACTCCCTATCAACACATTAAACTCAGGATCAACAGGGCACATTTCTTTGGTTTAGCAATGATCCTGTGATTGGTATGCCAGATAAAAAGCTTATGCAGTTACTGAAGATGCTGCTTTCCATGGGACTGGCCAGTACTGAACAACTTGAAAACAACAGGACAGGTTCCTTGGCTTTTGGCAGCATGGTGTGACATAAAATATTTTAAGAAACAGACCTTGGAAGGAGAGCAACAATTTGGAATTGAATTCAGACCACTTCCAGTCTCTCCTCTGAATAAAGAGGTTCCCCCTACATAAAGCATAATCTCTCATAAATTATGCCAGCAATGCACCTGTTCTGTACTAGCGAGAAAAGGCATTGTCAGAAAGCACAAACTATTAAAGACTGGAAAATATTTGGGAGTTCTGTAACAAACCTTCTGTTGCAAGGCATCTATTGTCCTGGAACAACTCGGTGAGATTTCAGTACTAACTGTATCCGCAGTCTTATCCTCAGAGTCGTGATAGTTTGCCTAAAATTACAGAAGGAATTTTTAGAATCTGATAATTTGATCAAACTTGCCCTGTTACAATTCTATAGTCAGATGCCTTAAAAAGGAGCAAAGAAGCTAAAATCTGAGTGATCTTTTCTGCTAACACTCTCCCAGTGATATTCCAGCTGCCTCTCTGCTGTTATTTTAGGCTCCAGCTAGAGTTTATGTACATACCTGCTGCCTTCAAAAGGTGAGGCCTGTCCTCCCCCGCTTGCCCTTTCCCCTCCTTTAAGTGTTGGTGAGCCACACAGAGCATCAGATTAGATAACTGGACTGGCTAAAAACTGACTCAGCAAGCAAAGGGGCAGCTTCCAGCCAGACAAATTCCCAGCCCAGCTGGCCACGCAGCCAGCCAGACTGCAAGTAAACACAACCCCCCCATTCCGGGATGCATGCCTTTGCTTTCACATTCCCTCTCTGCTCCAGAACACTCCATGTTTTCTGTTCATTACTCAGACCTGGTTTTAGAAGTGCTGCTTCTACACAACCAGGGGTGCAAGTTGAGGGAAGTCTCCAGAAGGAAGCACAGCAGTGCACAAATCACTGAACTCATGCTGAAACCAAGGTAGGTCCTGAGGACTTGGACAGCCCCCACAGCCTGCCTGCCTAAAAACTCACTGCAGGGCAGAAGAGAAATCCTCAAAAGATGGATTAACCCAAAGCAGGCATTTTTCTCCTTTAAGATGAGAAGTTCTATTTTTGTGGGAGACAACAGTAAAACCACTATTCTTTTTACAAAAGCTGGAGCAGGAGGGCTCCAAGATTAAAGACTCCAAAGCTTGCTGCTGAATTTTAGGTATGCTAATGACTATCAGGTGGATTTGAGGCAGGAGGTGGCTGAAGAGGAATGCTGTGGAGAGAAATAATGCAGTCTGCATTTTTTAATTTCAGAAAATGTGTTTAAATGGTATCATTCAAACTTGAAAGCTGAATAATGACAAAAATCAAAGGCGTCCACGCAACCAACCATAGTTTACAGTGCCACGTGTGCACATACGTATCAGATTAACAACATGCATCTGTGGAGGGTCCATCCCTCACACAAGACAACTGAGAGATGATTCACCTTGTTAAAACTAGTTTTTTTCCTAATTCATCTTCTCCTAAATGTTCACGAATCTCTAACATTACAGCATTCAACCCCTGTTCTGATCTGCCTTCTGAAAACTGATGCCCAGCATTACAAAACACTTTGTGACTTTCACAATACTCTCACACAAGAAATGGGCTTTATTACCATATTGCTGTGAAACTGATTAATTAACATAAAATGCAACCATTAACTCCCCCAACTTTTATCAGGTAGGAACTTGATTTTCAAGATATTTAATACGATACTTGACAAACTAGCAAGAGCTGCTCAACCCAGTACTTCTCAGAGCAGTAACTCGTGGTGCCACAACCTGCATAAATCAAGCACCACCTGCGAAAAGACAAAAAGCCTGGTTGCTGTGACTGGATCAGTGTGCAACAGAAACTCAACAGGAAAAGGTCCTGAGCTAACTACAATAACATACATCACTATTTTTTTCCTTGCAATTTTAACCATGGCCACAGAAGACCTTCGTGTGTATGGATTCAGATACAACATAATAAGACCTTAAAAATATCATGATTCTATATACTGTCACCATTTAAGAGCAATCTTTCAACACCATGTGAAGTTTGGGAGAGGCATGTGTATATTCATATACCCTTTCTTTTTCTACCTTGTAAGGTCTTCTCATTGTTCCTGATGCTGCATCATAATTGAGCATATCCGTGGGGTCAATCCATTCATCTTCTTGAACTTTACCGCTCCCTACCAGCATAACTGCACACAACACCAGAGGAAACAGCATCCTGTATCCCTGAATGTAACAAGAAATTCACATATTTAGGTCAGGGTGTAACATGCTGTATGAAAAAAAAAAATGCAACCATCTTACAGAAAAGAAGTATTCTCTGGTGCTGTTTAAAAACTCAGTTCTCCATTAAGCAAGTTAAGCAGGTTAAACTTCACTTCCTTTTTTTTTTTTTCCACCAAGGAAATCGTCAGCAATAACATGCAACAAATAAACTGTACTACATGACTGGATCAATACAACTGACCACAGATATCAGCAGGTGTAACACGGAGTTCAGTGTTGCTGAATACAATAAACCTATGCAGAACTCCTCCAGGATTCGCGGCCAGATCACAAGCCCAGCCTCATTCATCTCAGGTGCAAAACAGTGTTATTTACTGAGCAACAGAAACACAGGCTCCTGTTGGATTGCTAGTGCTAAATACAGTGCAGGAGCACACGGACACAAAAATACAGCTGTCAACAAACACATGACACTGGGAGCTGACTATCTAGTGCTAAGAGCACGATCACAAACACAAGCTGGCTCTCTGAGTTTCGGAGGAAGCACTTGGTACGGCCGAGTGTTCGGGCCTTACCCAACAGGCATCCATCCCTACAGGGCCAGAGATAAGCAGAGCCTGTCGACAGTCCCCGGGTACAAAGGTGGAATTTCCCCTGAGCTCCCATCCCTCGTAACCTATGTTTATATTGTTTTCTTTGAAGGAGAGGGAAAGGTAGCGTTTCAGTTGATGTCATTTCACGTTTGGGTGGACTTTGAGAGACTTTAGTCAACCATGTAAAAGCACGTACAGGTTTTACTTCATTACCACGTGTGGGGGTGTGAAAAGTGATATGTATTTTCGACTTTAATAGAGCAAAGTTCAGCTTTTGGTCGGTCACCTTTTAGATCACTCTGGCTTAGTTCCCGCTGGCAGCATTGTTTTAAGCGGAGCACGGCCACACCATCTCCGTGCCGCTCCATCCTTTGTCCCCCGCCTCTCCGGGAGCGACACACCGCGCTCCCCCGGCGCTCCCGCTCCCAAAGGGTGCAGAGCAGCTCGTCCCTCGGGAATTACTGCCCCGCAGGCACTCCCGCTCGCTGACCTTTCACATTATTTTTCCACAAAATGTCCAGCACGCCCCTCCCCCAGAACAAAAATCAAGGCTGGCCAGCCCTGCAGGAACACCCCTGCCCTGCCCGGGCGGGACCCACGGCCCGGTGCCTTCGGGGCGGCTCCGCCCGGCCCCGGCCCCGCACAGGCCGGCGCTGGAGGCGCGGACAGGCCCATGGAGCGGAGCCACGGCCGCTCCTCCCGCCCTGACCTCCTTTATCTCGGCACCGACACCGCGCTCCGCCGAGACGAGCGGCCCTCCCGCCCCTCGCCCGGGCCCGGACACGGCGCAGGCCCCGGGCCCGCCCCGCCCGCGGTACCTGAAGAGCCGCAGGAATCCCGACGTGTTTACCCGGCCCGGGGCCGCCCCGCAGCCGCGCTCCTCCCGGCTCCTCCCGGCCCTGCGGCTCCCCAGGCCCCGGGGCGGCCGCTCCGCCCGGGAACGGCCGCGGAGCAGCGGCCGCGGAGGCGCCGCCCCGGCCCTGAGGGGACGGCTCGAGCTCAGGGCCCGCCCCAGGCCCGCCCAACTCCGGCCCCGCCACGGCGCCTCCCGGCACCTCTCACAGCTTCATCCCCGCCCCAGCCCGGCCCCGGCGCCTCCCGGCACCTCTCACAGCTTCATCCCCGCCCCGGCGCCTCCCGCCATCTCCCAGCAGCTTCATCCCCACCACAGCCCGGCCCCGGCGCCTCCCGGCAACTCCCGCCAGCCTCATCCCTGCCCCGACCCGGCCCCTCCCAGCAGCCTCATCCCCGGCCCCTCCCCACCTGCACAGCGAGTTGAATGGCCCCCAGTGCCCGACCCCATGAAGGCAGACTTACCTTCGCTAAAGGCAAGCTCAGGCACAACACGCTGCGATGTAAAACAAGGGATGTAAATCGACATCTCCTCTTTTAAGACCTAAGCTGGAATAAAATTGTCAGGAAGATAGTATTTACAGAGTTGTGGTACTAATTAAGAGAAGTTTGCCAGCTTTATCTACAGATAAACAACTAGAGGAATGCTATTTTCCTCCAAAGCAGCATTATGTATCAAATACAGAAAAATAAACAAGATCTGCAGCTGTATTATCACACTGAAAATTCAGATATAGGGAAGCAGTATCAAAACTCTTGGGTATTTTATAGTTCTGGCATATTAAGTCATATGTCTAACTCTGTATCACAGTTGCATCAAACAACTATGAACTAAGAATCCAAAATAACAGACAAAATAGATGCAGGTGTTGGAGGTCTTTATTGAGATTATAGCACAGATACACTTCTATATTTACCTTTCCACTTTTATACGATAGTTAAAAATGCTTGCTACAGTGCACATATAATTTAGTAACCAAGAGAATCCAAAACTTAAATGCAGTTCAAATAAATAAATAACCAAAAGTTTAAGGTTTATATTTTAAAAAGTAAAAGGAACTGTACAATATGAAAATATAACAATACATAAACATTAGAATCTAAAGTTTTGTAGAAGTAAAACTGCAGTTTCCCATACATAAACAGTGCAAGAAATAAAATTCAGATAAGCTTCTGAACTGGGAATTTAAACAATTCTTAAATTATCATGCAGACATAGCATTTTAAGCCATGCTGGTTTCTATTATAGCATTAATGGTATCCCTTTTACTTGAAAAATTGATAGCCATTAAGCTCACTGTGACAACTGCTGCCAATCCACTCTTTTCTACAGTACATTATACACAGAGGTATTCTGTTGCATTCAAAAAGTAAAATATTACATGTTTCTACTGAAAAAAGTCAATATTTTACTTTTTCCCCCTCCAACATGTTAGCTTGTTCAAAACAATGTCATGTAGTAAAAACAGCAACATTTTTCCCAGGTTAGATGAAAAGAAAGAAAAAAACCCACACTATCTAATGGACCATAATCAAGATGTGGTTACTGCCTAGTCAGCCTTTAAAGTTCAGATGTTTTTACTAAAAACATTGAAATTGTGGAGATGTTTTGAAGTTTGATCTCTTGTTGAGAAGCAATGAATACAATAAACCTGAAAAAAACAGTGGAAGTTTTACGTGTGTGTGTGTGTGTGTGTGTGTGTGTGTGTGTGTAACTAGTTACATACAGACTCGATTAAAGTGTTGTTCAACTTAAGTTCTATACAAAATTCTCATCGAGGCAAAGACCAAGGAATGCAATTAATACCAAACTGTAAACACATCATTCATTTTACTTTGAGTGCACATCAACAACATAAGAGTTCTCCTCATAGACTTTGGCAACAAGACTACAATAGGTCACAGCAGCATGAGTTCAACATGGAAGACTGGAAGCACTGCAAAAGAATATACTAAAAACACCAAGACCTCCTAGAAACCAGAAAAATCAGTGACAAGTGCCCCTCTTCTTGATAAGACACTCTCCTGCTCAACTGCTGCTCTCAATGCCTCATTATTATTACTTGTTTGGACAGTTCTGTAGTCTCAGGTGTCTGTGCTTTAGCTGCATAGGTTGCCTTAGTTTGCACTCTAACCATTGTAGGTCCAAAGCGTTACAGTCCTGTCAGCAGATGACGACAAGAAGGAAAGATCTTGTGTGTGCCATCTGCACTGGATAACTTTGTCCTTGTGCTCTCCTACCACCATCAGAGGAAGCTGCTTCGTGAGATCCCCTGTGGCAGAGGAACAGAAATCATTAGTCATTTCATGAATTTATACCCCAGGTCTTGTCTCTTCTCTCTTCTTAACTCTTTTCAATAAAAATAAAAATTATATACTTTTTTAAAAAGTGTCAATTTTATGAATGCTACCTGAAAGCAATGGTCATCTCACTAGGCAATAGTGTTAATTTTTTTTACTGTAAAGAGACTGTCATACCCCAACAAGATTTAGGTCACAGCCTGCACTTTTAGCAACACTACGAGCCAACTGCCAACAGACACAATCACATATATACATGTCAAACCCTTCAAAGCTCTACCATTTTTCTCCCCTTCTAATGTAAAACCTGATCTTTGAACTAAAATCTCAACTTCAGCATTAAAAGCACCAAGTGGAAGAGGAGCCTGTGATCCTTTGCAGCTCTTTACCTTGCAAGTCTGTCACCTTGATCTTCATATCGTAGGAGCCGGTGAGCAGGTAGTGAGCCCCCGGGGAGAAGCGGACGGAGCGGACATCACTGGAGTGGGGGTGGTAGCTCTGCACCATGCGCCCCCCCCGGATGTCGTACAGCATGCAGCTCGAGTCCTCCTGGCCTGTAGCCAGCAGCCGCCCGCTGGGATCGACAGCTACTGAGGCTACAGCACTGCCTGCAGGGGGAGGAAAAACCCACACGGTCACACCTTACAGTTCTGTGCACCTGTGCAAGTGGCTGACTCTTTTAAAACCAGAATATACATTGTACAAGAATATTGACTGCTGGCTTTAAATTTAAAGTGACCATACCCAGCTACTGTTACCTTAGAATAACAATATTTTTATGTTCTGGCACTGAAAACTCTGCAGCCATAGGTCACACTGGAATCGCAGCAAAGACACTATTGGAGCTGCATGAGAAAAAGTGTCTGTTCCATCACAGGAAAGAAAGTCACTCTTTATGTAATAATGTGGAATACTGCAAGGAATTCACCCTGGCCCTGATGTCTCAAGAATTTCAGTTATCGTGTTTTATCTGAATGTACTTGGCAGTGCCTGTTTGAAAGTTAAATTTTGAAAAGCAAAACCACCACTCAACTTCTGAAAGGAAATGTTACTTTAAAAACAAACAAACAAAACACAGGTAAAGATTCCTCACAGCTTCTTTCTTTTAAAGCCAAGCCTCCAGTCTGTGGCAAAACCCCCCTTACATTCTGCCTATATTACCTTCACGTATTCAAAGTCTATTTTTATGCAAGAATGTTCAGAAGCATGAGAGCAACTCTTGCCTGTTCCATGAAATGTTGTTCCCACAACACGAACACAGCTTGGCACTCTCAAATCCCAAAATCTTACAGTCTTGTCTTGGGATCCAGATGCAATCATCCAGCCACTCCAAGTATAAAGTGCTAAAATATGACCTGTGAACAAGAAGACTTCTTAGTTTGATTAACCATCATTAATCAAACACTGAAATACCACAGTTCAGATTACATTTTTGCTTTCAGCGATTTAAATATCCTGTGGAAAAGCTGCATGTTGCATGATCCAATCTAACACACCAGTGTAAGGCAATACCCAGCTTTGCATCTTTGGAATGAGGTGTGCACTCTATCCATTAAATAAACAGCCAACATATGTAAAAACAAACACTCCCCACCACCCCTCAAAATACCTCGAGAGCAATCTGGAGAGGAAAAAAAATCTTGCTAGAAAGAGAAAGACAAAGAATTCAAAAAACACCCCCAGAACAACCCAACAACTTTATTAGAACCTCATACAGGCTTAGGAAGTGTGAGAGAAGCCACAATACACATACCAGTGTGCCCACTCAGGGCATGCAGGCCTTGTCCTCGCTGACAATCTGTTGTGTAAATATTGCAGTCCCCTGCTCCAGCACTTATTAAAATAGCACCACCACTTTCTGGCCCTTCCATGAAAGCAAGGTCCCTGATTGTCCCATCGTGCATGCTGAATTCCAAATCTGGTCCTAAAATCATTTAAAAATTGAGGAACAAAATAAGGCACATTTTGTTTGTTAGTGCTGCACCCTTTAAAGCAGCTACAGTGATAAAGCAGAATGCTTTAGGCAAGGTTGGGTATGCTACCAAGTACAAATATTGCTGTGCACTTCCTATAGAACACAGTATTTCAGTTACTAAAGTTGAAATAAAATCCCTAAGAATCTTGTTGTTGAGTGTTGCTTGAGCTTCCTGCTTCCTAAAGCTTTGCAAAATATCCATAGACCACTACCACAGCCAATTGCAGCCAAAGTTTACAGAGTACATTTATTTCTTTTTGTAAACTCAAAAGGCTTTCTCTGACAGGAGAGAGAGGTCATTGAGAGCACTGAACCACACAGGACAAGGCAGTCTAAGTTCAAAACAGAAAAGTTAAGAGCCATAATCAGAGTACTGATTAGGAGGGTTGGGCATGGAAAGTAGTATTTGCTGGGCCAGAAGCCTTTTAAGGATGGGTGAGAAAGACAGATGACAGAAGTAGGCAAGAGAAAGGGGAACTAGAAGTGGAAATAAATTCCTAGCGACAGTCAAGATCCAGAGGTGGGCAAGAACATCTGGTTGTTTTACTATATATGGAGGAGAATCTGCCAGAAGAGAGCACAATACTGGAATCTTGCAAAACAAAACAAAAACACAACTAACCAACTCAAAGAAAACCCAGAAGATAATCCCCAACCTCTCAGTGGCTCTTTGCTGGAAAAAGACTACAATGACGGTGAAAGGGAAAAGAGATTGAAGTATTAGAACAAAAATAACAAAAGCTATTAAATACATGATCAATGTAATTTGAATAGTTTTGACAAATATTGGAAAAATAATTGAAAATAAACTCTTTAAATAT